AGAGAGAGAGAGAGAGAGAGAGAGAGAGTGAGTGAGTGAGAGTGAGTGAGATGAAGTTATTAAGGGAGATAATTAGATGGGGCAATTTCTTTTTTTTAATTTACAAAAATGTTATATTAAATAAAAAATAAAAAATGAAAATACAGAGGGTAAAATCGTCATTTTAAGAAAATTTAAGCCAAAATGGATCAAAATGACAAAAAAATGAAAAGTTTTGAACATTAAGTGTTAATCCAAACATTTTGGAAGTGTCAATTTCCACCTAACATAAACAATTCTTACAATTTTGTCTTTTGACAGCGGAATGGAGCTTTTGAGGTATGTTGTACTTGTTTCAATGTTCTTAATAGATAAGAGGAAGAAGAAGAGAGCGATTACTGCTGGTGGCGTGAGGGGGAAGAAGAGAAGGACGAGGCAGAAGTCGGCATAAGAAGGAGGAGGCAAGACCTGGTTTATCGCTCTCATACCATAAAATCATTCCACAAATACGATTCATATACACAAAAATACAACGAGATCCCAATTACAAGGAATTTATCTAAAATACAATCGAGTATAAAGTGGGATTTTCTAAAAACCATTAATTATTTATGAAAAGGATTATCACATTTATTATTATTGATAATTGATAATATAGAGATCGAATTAACATATGTATAATTGTATGGTTAATAAATCTACAGCATAATTAGATCGAATTTGATGTGAAAATATACTGCCTGCTCACATTCAATAAGATCAACTGCAACCGTCTTCATCGAGTAATTTTTCATTAACGTCACCAAAGGCATGAAGAAATCCGAGGGACCAAATAGTGATTTGTACACAACAATTTTTCTTCATACACAACAATTTGTGCATTAAAGTATTGTAGTGTACAACTCCATAAAGCATAAATTGTTGTGTATGAAGAAAAATTGTTGTGTACAAATCACTATTTGTTGTCATTGTCATAGTGCATTAACGCTGCACGTGATCATTCTCTACCTAATCTCAAGACTCTGGTGCTAATCACCACAATTGATGCCTTGACTTTTCATAAATTCATTCGAATTCTCAATTATTATCCGAAAGTGGAGTCTCTCAAGTTGATCATTAAAGAGGTACACTCTTTATCAAATGGTAGTTTATTTTATGCAACACATAAAACATCTTACAAAGGCTTTTAGACAAAATTATTATGAACCCTGGATACAGTATCAAAAGGATTTGAACTGGGATCTTTACATTATCCTTCTATATGAAAAGCAATTGAGCTAATTGATAGTTTTTCCAAGTATTAAAAATATTAGTTTAGATTTTTTGCACCTCAAGATGAAAAAAACTTATGCTTTTGTTTGATATCATCTAGAAATATTCTGTGTGGGAGAAGCGGAATTTGGATGAAGCTGAAACAAGAAGTTCCTTAAATCCTGATCTGAAAAGGGTCGAGTTTTTTTAATTCGATGGAGAAAAGCCAAAAGTAGCTTTAGGAGGTTGCTTCCATGATGGATATTATTTCATGGAAATGATTTTCAGTTGGCGAAACTGTAATTAAGTAGTAACTACATGTTCATGTGTTACAGGGTAAGTAGATTTTGTTCTTTGTTGGATTCGGATATTTTTGCTTCATTTTCAAGTTTTACTAAAATGCTTGTTTGGTTCTACAGTTTTGTTCATATAAACAAAAATGACTTCACTCTTTTTTTTGGGTTCAAATTCATTCTAGCTTTAGAAGGATCCGTTGATATGAATCTGATGAACTTCGGTACATCAATGATGTACACTCCAGTTTAAGTTATCGAGTGTGAACTTGATTTCTATCAGCACGTAGATCCTTGATAGCAAGTATAATCATTAATGTTCACAAAAACTAAACACAATAACACAGCATAATGTATGTTATGCATCTCTCTCACACAAAATAAAAATATATGGAGCCTTAAAGCTATACGTATAGAATAAAGTATGGTTTGACTATTAGTGTCGATACCACTTAAGCAAAAAAAACCTCTAAACCTGTTGTAGGATGTAATAATAGTCGGATTGAAAAAGAGGTGTAAAATTTGTGTGGTTTTATTCGTAAGATTGAAAAATCATCAAGAAACTGAAAACCAGTCAATGTGTTGACTTTATGTCATTTGCATTTTTTAAAGAAAATATTTGATATAATGTTGTAATGGAAAGTAATGACTAATGACAGTAAGATGTTATGATTAT